ACCTCCCCGAAGGGAAGAGGGTTTCTGGAAGAGGAAGGAAGGAAGTAGTCAGACCACCTTAGCCAAAGAGGCTTGTGGGATTATGTCAAGGAGCCCGGCTTTTCCTGAGCGTAAGCTTCTGGAGGCCGTATTCGGGCTCCAGGGCCAGCAAACAACAACACGCGACGACGGCCAGTCCTGGCGATTTGAGCGGAGACGATGTGGCCCCCATCGTCGGAAATACGACGTCGTAGTGTAGTGGTCCAACGGGTGCTTCGTCTTGGAGGTATCGAGAAGCTGGCATCTCGCCATCGGCGGAAGACGTCGGAAGGCGAGGGCTTTTGCTAGCGAAAGCTGGCGACTGGTCGGCGGAGGCTGGCGGAGGCCGCTGAGAGCACGCTCGGCACGTCAAATAATGAACCAGCCTGCCAGCACGTGCCCCGCGGAGCTTGCTCATCCCACGACGACCCTTGGGACTCACAGACGCCTTGGGGCAAAGGAAGCTCAGGGTTGGACGTGGAACGTTCGCCTGGAATCCTTCCAGACGCTTCGTGTCAGGCGCCCCAAGTACGCACCTCTTGCAAAGGGGCCAGAACCAGCCCTCCCCGGGCTTCCAGACCCGGCCAGATGTTGCTGTGCGGGCGAGGGCTCAGGCTCGGCGTTGCGTCGATGGGGGGAGCGAGTGGGGGGGCAGAGCTGCTCAGAGGCTGGCGCGCCGCTTCTCAGAAGCCCTCTGGCCTTCTGTCCTCGTCGTCGTCGTCGTCGTCGTCGTCGTCGTCGTCGTCGTCGTCGCCTCCTCGCGGCGCAATGGCGGCGGGGCCCCCCGGTGGCGTCGGAGAAGGCTCAGAACGCTGCTCAGAAGGCCGGAGGCCGGCTGAGCCTGCCGAGAGGGCGCGCCCCCCTCGGCCCTGCCCCCTCCGGGGCGCCCCGCCGGCAGAAGTCGCTTCGCGGGCGAGGGCCTCTTGGCGGCCGCGGGTCGATGCCGGCGGGCTGATCTCCGTTCGAGCGCTGCGCAGGGCCGGCCCTCTGCCCCGACGTCTGTGTCGCTGCTCGGCGTCCCCGTGGCCCCGGATGCCTCCAGGGTGGCCTCGCCGGGCCGTCGGAGGTGGCCGCGGGTGACGCCCGGGGCGGCTTTTCTCTCTAGCCCGGGAGAGGTTCCGGGGGCCTTTTTGGGAGCCGCTCGAAGGATCTGTCCGACTCCAGCTCGACTACAGCTCGACTCTAGCTCGACTCCGTCGGCACAAGTTCGACTCAAGTTCGATTCGAGTCAACGGACGTTCTACTCAGCATCGGCGCAAGAGTTTAGCGAGTGGCTCCGGAAAGGTTCCCAGAACGAGCATCTACGTACGGTACTTGTCGGTAGTTGAGCATGTGTTGTTCGGGGAACAGGCTCCAGGGTGCTTCAGGGACGTTCTTCCTTCTTTATGGTGGCGGGCCGAAGCCCAACTTACCCGTCATGCCTTCCCTCTGGCCGACGTGTGTGTCCAGGTGCGGTTGAGAAGGTTCCTGCATTTGTTCGCCGTAACCTTTGGCGAGGGGGTACCAAACCGATCAGTCTCCATGACGTTCGCCAACGAAAAACAAGACCTGAGGGCCCGACCTCTCATCGGCTGTACCCTGAGCCGTCTGGCTGACAGAGGAGTGCTGCGTCCCTCCTCATCTTCCTACCTTCTCCTCTCCCCCTGACACGTCCCTGAATCATCCCCCCGACACGTCTACTGACGACTCTCCTGACATGTCCATCGGCACGTCCTCTTGCAAGTCTCCTGACACGTCCTTTGACGAGTCCCATGGGCACTTCCCATGGCGCATCCCTTGACACTTCCCCTGGTACGTTCCCTAGCCCGCCCCAAGGCATGTCCCCTTACGCGTTCTGTGCCACGTCCCCGGGCAAGGAGCTTTGCTGTCCTGCTGGCTTCTTAGGCGGGCGGAGCACCTGGGTAGACTTCGAGGAGCCTCGTGTGGAGTTTCTTGGGGGCATCCTGTACTATCTGGGAAGCCTCTTGGGCCGTCTTGGAGGTCTTTTGGAGGTTCTCCTTGGCCGTGTTGGAGAGAGCCACGAAATTGTTGCCCTCACGGTGAGGGCCTCACCGAATCAATTCAGTTTTTGCACAGTCGAGCAAATCCCACGAACTTTCTCCCAGAAAGTCAGTGGGGGTTAGCGCTGGTCACCTCTCTTGGGTTCGGCCCCAAAGTCGCGAGTGGGGGATAGTTCTCGATTACGGGCTCCCAGGAGGTTGGTCTAGGGTCTAGGGTACCAGGACTGTTAGGTATCCCCTGCCCACATGTGAGGCAACTTTCGTGGCCGTTTGCTTCAGGGTTTGGCTTGCCTTCCGCATGCCGTTTCATTTTGCCACCCTCCCAGCCCCAAAGCACCGTATGTTGAATGGGGTGGTGTGAAATTCTTCACGCTTCGCATACCCCCACCTGCCCATGCAGAAACGCTGTCGATGATAGCTGATCTTCTTGAGGCCCTCTTGGGGTCCTCTTGGGTCTCTCTCGGGGCCCTCTTGGAGCCCCCTCGGGGCTCGTTTGAGGGATCTTGGGGCCCTCTCGGAGAACTAGAAGCCCTCTGGGAGTCCTCTCTGGCGAAACAGGATCCCCTGGCACCTCAGTCTCCCCCACATCCAGACCCCTGGGAGGGGGTAGGGGGAGGGTCAAGCTACCCACGAGTAACAAGCCGTCTTTCTCATTCCCACCCGCCCTCCCAACATGCACCCGAGTCTCGGCGTGGACAGGGGCCGCCACCGACGACCATCGGGAACCACTGCCGACGCCAGCCAGGTGCGCGAAGCCCGCGAGGTGCAACGCACACGCCAGCGGCGCCACGTGCACCAGGTGCGCCACATGGAGCAGTAGATCGGCCCTCCCACTATCCCCAGAAAAGCAGTGCAGAGTGACGGAGGGTTTCCTGCGTGCGGTGTGTGCACCCGCGGTCGTTTTGCATTTGCTTGGTAGGCTTGCGCGCAGCAGGCAGCAGGCCGCGCCCCCCCCCCCCCCCACGGCGCCCCTGGCAACGTGGGCCAGTTTCCTTACACCTTGTTCATTTGTAATTCTTTGAAGGTGCTTTGATTTTTTGGGGGGCCACGATCCGTTTAAATTTTAAACATAATATGTCTAATTCTTTCATCCTGGGCCTCTTCTTGGTCACTAGGGGGGCAGGAACAATTAGAAACGCGCACAACTAGAAGTGAGCACGATTAGAAATGAACGACGTGTACCTTTGGAAGCGATGGCGGGCCTGCACGCAGCAGGCGCTCTGCCGCCCCCCCCCCGCTGTCCCTGTCAACAGCCAGTGCAGCGTGAGCGCGAGGCGTCCGCGCATGATCCAGATGTTTTGGTGCAGAGTGCACGGTGTGCTGTCTTCTCTGCAGGGGATGGTTGGGGACCGTTGGCATTGCAGGCAGCAGGTGATGTGCTGCCCCCTCGCCGTCCCCGTCAAACATGAGTGCGAAGAGATTGCGGGGGGCGTCCGCGCATGATGTAGTTTGGGGGCAAAGTGCGCTTTGTGTGGCTTTTGTGCAAAGGATGGTGGTGTGGGAGGGTGTTGGTTCGCGCGCAGCAAGCAATATGCTGGCCCCCCTGCCGTCCCTGCCAAAAATTAACGCAACATGGTCTCGGGGCGCCCGCGCATGCTCCAGATTTGGAGGCAACTTGATTTTTTTCAAACAGGGATGCTGGGGGGGCCGCATGGGTGCCCTCATGGGTCCGGGTTGGCTGCCGGTCGGGTGGGGGAGGGTGTGTATTCTTATTAGGGAACATTGATATACGCCCCCCCCGAAGAGAAACAGAAAGGGTCGTGGAAGAGGAGGAATGGAAGAACTCGTCAGACCACCTACCCCCAGAGTGCTGGTGGAGGCCTGTCGCCCTCCGGGTGTTGGGGCCGGGGGGGGGGTTGGTCTCTGGAGCCAGTCGCGCCTCCTCGAGTCTGCTCCGCCACGCGCGCCGACGACCCTCCGGGTCCCGCCTCGGGTCTCCCGCCGCGCCCTTGACACCGCCGTCGGCTCTCGAGCCCAGGGCACCCTCGCGGGCTCCTGAGCTGTCCCAACGGACCTCTGCCACCCTGAGAATGAGAAGGCGGAGGAGGACGAGGAGGAGGAAGAGGAGGTGGGGGAGGAGGAGGAGGAGGAGGAGGAGGAGGAGGAGGAGGAGGAGGAGGAGGAGGCGGGGAGGAGGAGGAGGAGGGGCGTGTAGGGCGGGGATATCATGGCCAGAGCCATGGTGTCTCTTCGGATCCCATGGCCCCCTCTTCTTTTTTCCATGCGTCCCCCTGCTCCCCCCTTCGGCCGCGCCCGCGTGCCTCCGGCCATGAATTGCGAGCTCTCCGGTTGGACGCCCCTGTCTTGGAGGCCGCGCCCCCTGGGCCAGGATGCAACTCCTGGGAGCTTAAGGATTCTGGATCGGCGCTGGTATATCCCTTGTCGTCGAAAACTGGCCCAGTCTGTCTCCATCCCTCTTCATCCGGCTCAATCCCGCCTCAGCCAGCTCAGTCCCGCTTAATCCCGAGCTCGATCGGTTGCAATGGCTCCTTAATCGGCTCAGATTGGACGGGGCCAGGACGAGGAGAAATCCGCTCCAGAGCGTTCCGGAATGCTCTCAGGGCGTTTTCGTGGCGTTCTGGCACGCTCTGAGAGAAGGCCGCGGCGCCCAAGACATCCTCCAGGGCCGCCGGATCTCAGGGATTCGATTCATCTTCGCCTGATTTTATCCTCGTCCTGGCTGCGTCTTACAGTGGGGGTTCGCATCAAGAAACCATCTTCTATTCGTCAGGGTACTGCTCCGCGCGCTGCGCGGTGACTTCCCGCAGCCGTTGAAGAAGCTGTTGCGTTCAGGATGCTCCGGGTTTCCCCTCGGGTGCACCTCGCGCGCGAGTTTTCAGGGTTGGGCTTCTTGCGAGGGTTTCTTGCGGCCGCGCCCGCACTGTATTCGATTGGCCTTCATCGCTCTGACGAAGACCGCCCAGGAGAGGCCTCCCGACCGGGGGGGCCTCCGGGCCTCGGGCGCCCCTTGGGCCGCGCCAGGCGCCGCCGGAGCTGCGGCTCCCGGAGCGGGACGCGCGCAACGCTCTGCTCGACCTGGCGCCGGCGCACGTGGAGGCGCGCGAGCTCGACGGAGAGGCGCCGCCGCCGCCGCTACCGCATGATGATGGTGATGATGATGGTGCTGATGCTGATGCTGATGGTGATGATGATGGTGTTGTTGATGATGGTGATGCTGATGCTGCTGATGATGATGAAACTGATGATGCTGATGATGATGGTGATGGTGATGATGATGATGATGATGATGAAGATGATGATGATGATGATGATGATGATGTTGATGGTGCTGATGGTGATGATGATGTTGTTGATGATGATGGTACTGATGATGATGGTAATCAGGATGATGCTGATGCTGATGTTGCTGATGATCATGCTGATGATGATAATGATGGTGATGACGATTCCGATGGCGATGTCAAATGTGATGATGATACGGATGGTGATGGTGATGTTGCTGATGATGCTCATGACGCTGATGACGCTGATGATGATGATGATGATGATGATGATGGTGATGATGATGACGTTGATGATGCTGATGATGATTATGATGATGACGATGATGTTGATGCTGATGATGATGAATATGGTGATGATGATGTTATGCTGATGATGCTGATGATGATGGTGATGATGCTGGTGCTTATGATGATGATTATGATGATGATGCTGGCGATGCTGATGATGCTGATGCTGATGATGATGGTGATGGTGATGGTGATGGTGGTGGTGGTGGTGGTGGTGGTGATGGTCATGGTCATGGTCATCGTCATGGTCATCGTCATGGTCATGGTTATGATGGTGACGGTGATAGTGGTGGTGATGATGATGACGACGATGACGATGGCGATCACGACAAGGACGACGACGAACAACACCACCACCACCAAGACCACGACCACGACCATGACGACGGCGACGACGACGACCACGACCACGACCGCGATCACGACCACGACCACGAGCACGAGGACGACCACGATGACAACGACGACGACGTCAAGATTCCATATTCGAGCATTGGGGATCGAGGTTCAAGGCTCGAAGGGGACATTCTTTTGAAGACAGTTTGTTGCCGTGCTTTGTCATTCTCGCCTCGGCAGGGCTTCTCGCCGCCCCAGGCGGGCTGGCGGAGGGAGCTTCTTGATCAGGGCGCAACCCCTGGAGAGGCCAAGAGGGTACTTGCTGGAGGGGATGCAGGAGAGGATGAGGGGGAGGAGGAGGAGGAGGAGGAGGAGGAGGAGAGGAGGAGGAGGAGGAGGAGGAGGAGGAGGAGGAGGAGGAGGAGGAGGAGGAGGAAGAGGATGCGAGGATTCGGAGGAGGAGGAGGAGGAGGAGGAGGAAGAGGAGGAGAAGGAGGAGGAGGAGGAGGAGGAGGAGGCAGAGGAGTGCGAGGATTCGGAGGAGGAGGAGGAGGAGGAGGAGGAGGAGGAGGAAGAGGAGGAGAAGGGGAGGGGAATGAGGAGGAGGGGGACAGAAGGGGGAGGAGGAGGGAGAGGAGGAGGACAAGCTGTTTGTGCTCGCGTCATATCTGACGTCCTACCCCTCCCTCCCATCCCTTACCATGACGTAGACATCCTCTCTATTCGCACCATCGGATGTGGTAGCATGGCATAGCAACACATGGCATAGTGTAATGCTGAAGATCAACGCGTAGCATGACGTAGCATGGCATGGCGACGCCCCACCAAGTGGTGGGTGCGCGCTTCTTCGGTCCACAAAATCAGAGAGTCGACACCGAATGTGTAATCGCTTCCGACGGTTTCTTCGGGAGGCATTTTTGGGGGATTCTGGGGCCTATTTGGAAGGACCGAAAACCAAACCATGGCATGGCACCGAAAATAATGACGCCAGCGCTGCAGCGGGAGCACGACTCGGAACGAGCGGAAGCGCGGAAGTGAGGCCAGCGCTGCAGCGGGAGCACGATTCGGAACGAGCGGTAGCCCGAAAATGAGGCCAGCGGTTCAGCCAGAGCAGCATTTTGAAAAACAACAAGCGCGGAAGCGCGGAAATGAGGACGCGTAGCCTGGCATAGCATGGCGTGGCGACGTCCCAAAGTGGGGGCGGCTTCTGCGGTCCAAGGATCAGCGAATCGGCACCGAATGTCTAATCATTTCCGGTGTTTTTTCGGGGGGGTATTTTCTAAACGTTGGGGCCGATTCGGAAGGACCGAAAACCATGCTGTGGCATGGCGCTGGAAATAATGACGCCAGTGCTACAGCGGGAGCACGATTCGGAACGAGCGGAAGCGCGGAAATGAGGCCAGCGCTGCAGCGGGAGCACGATTCGGAACGAGCGGTGGCCCGAAAATGGGGCCAGCGCTTCAGCGAGAGCAGCATTTTGTAAGAACAAACCGAGCGAAAACCCAGTTACCGGGAATCCTGTGTGTAAAAAACCAATACGTGGAGGGGGGCCGAACAATCCCCGGATGCCACCAGGGGAGAGGAGAGTAGTAGTCATATTGTTTAATTGTTAAGGAGGGAGTTGGCGGGGGAGGAGGAGGAGGGGGAAGAGGAAGAGAAGGAGGGGGGAATGAACGAGGAGGGGGACATGTGGGAGGGGGAGGGAGAGGAGGAGGTGGAGGAGGAGGATGAGAAGGAAGAGGAGGAGGAGGAAGAGCTGGAGTAGAAGGAGGGGGACGAGGAGGAGGAGGAGGAGGAGAAGAAGAAGAAGAAGAAGAAGAAGGAGGAGGAGGAGGAGGAATGGGAGGGGTAGACTAACGGGGAGGCGCCGACGATGGCGGCGGCGGCGACGTCGACGGTGACAACGGGCACGACGACGATGAGGGGCTCCAACTGTTTTCGTGGGTCCTCGGGCTCTGGGCTGCTTACCATCAGCTGCACCTCGTCGAGGGCCTTCTGGGGCCGCCACCTTGGGCCTGGCCAGAAGATCAAAGGGAGGGGCGACGACGACAGACCCAGACCTCCAAGCTTTCAAACAAAATCAAGATGGGATGAAGAACTGGCCCTGGGGAAGGGGTCGACAGTTCCAGGGATCCCGCCTGTTGCAAGAAATCACGACGTCAGAGGTCCAAGAAGGCAGAGGCGGTCACGATGGCGGAGAAGGCGGCGGCGTCAGCAGCTTGGATGGAGCCGAGGGATCTCGACGAGGAGTCGCCGACGACGACGAAGACGACAACGACGACGCCAGCCCCGGTGACGACGATGGCGGCGACGTCGGCGACGGCGACGACGACATCGACGTCTCCGTTGCCGAGGTTTTTGGGCACTTCCGTCTGGTCATCGCCGCCCTCGGCTGAACGCGGCTCGAATGGCTGGCCAGGACACCCGGGGAGGGGCCCCGAAGGCCGGTGGCCGCGACCAGGGCGATCACCTGTCGCTGGCGTGTCGACCGCTGGCTGGCGCGCTCGACGCGTCGGCAGCATGCCACGGAGAGCGCGCTCTTCGAAGCCAGCCGTGCGCCTGCCTCGTCTTCTGCAGCTGGAGCTCGAGGAGGGCCCCCGGACGGCGGCGCCACAGCGCCCCCGGCAGGCCTCGTGCGGCGGGCCGCGTGCTGGCTCGGGGGCAGGGTGGCCGCAGCGACGGCGAGGGCGGCGACGGGGAGGAGGGGGGGGGGGAGTGAGGATCAGTTGGAGGAGAGAGGGGAAGGAGGAGGAGGAGGAGGAGGAGGAGGAGGAGGAGGAAGAGGAGGAGGAGGAGGAGGAGGAGGAGGAGGAGGAGGAGGAGGCGGTCTTCGTCGTCGTCTTCGTCGTCGCGTCGCCGACGGCGACGGCGGCGACGACGGAGGCGACGACGGCGACGGCGAAGACGGCGGCGACGACGGCTGTGACGACGACGACGTCGACGGCCTTGGCAGCAACCACGTCGACGGCGACGACGATAGCAACGTTGATGACGATGGGGTAACGTCGGCGGCGACGGCGGCGACTGTCACAGCGGCGGCCGAGCGAGCTAGACGGGGAGGCGCCCGCCCTTTCGATCTCGCGGGTGCTTCGGCGATGCGGCGCGGCACTCCGACCCCATGATGCGCGGGCGTTCAAGGTTGAACGGTGCTAGTGGCAGACATCGACTTGTGTCGTGGGGCTGCGATCGCTCAGGGGTGCACGATCCACACGGCGTCAAATCAGAAACTAAACTCTGACGTCGCCACGACACGAGCCCGCCGTTGCGCAAGGCCGCCACGGCCTCTCGCCTCTCCGCTCGTATAACCCCCGGTCCCGAGGGGCCCCATCGATGCCGGGGTCTTCGGGCACCCTCACTGGGCCCCACTTGGCCGCAGCCACCCCTCCAGCTTTGGGCCCGTGGCCGCACGGTCCGAAAGATCTGTCCTCGATGGGGCGCAGGGCCCACGGCCTGGCTCCCCTCTCGCGCAGGACCTCGCTGCTCCCTGGGCACCCGACGCCCTTCTTTTTTGCCGATGCGCCCGCGGCCCAGAGGTCCCGACCCCTCCCACAGGGCAAGCTCTTCGCCCCCCGGATCCGCCTGGCCCCGGGGCCCCGCAGCGGACGGCCCTGGGGGCCGAGCACGAGGAATCTGCTCTGCTCCGACTCGGCACGAGTTCCCGGCTTCAATGCCGGCTGATCCTGCCTGGGCTCGGCGTCATCCCAACATACTTAGTCTATATGCGCGTCGCCCCCCCCCAGGGGCGACGCGCGCACCGAGAAAATCTTATAGTATATGTGCGTCGTAGCGGGCGCTTCCTGGCCACGCCGCTCGGGAAACGAGGTGCTACAAGAGGGGGTATACTATACATGTTCGGGTCGGACGCTCGCCTCCAAGGAGTACACATAGCATTAGCATGTCCCTGTGCGTCCCCTGGGCGGCCTCCAGCCGCTGTGCTCCGCCGCGGCGCCCCGCGCGCGCGCCGCCGCGGCGCGGTCCCCCGAGGGGGCCGGGGCGCGCAGCGGCCGCCGGCGATGGGCTCCGCCGCCATCGCGCCCAGGGGTTGCGCGGCGGCGGCCCATCGGAGGGGCTGGCGGAGAGGGCAGGGCGGTCCAGGGTGTGCCAGGGATCTCGTGTGCGTTTGTGCGCGCGCGTGTGTGTGTGTGTGTGTGCGTGCGTTTGTGTGTGTGTGTGTGCGTATATGCGCGTGTGCGTGTGTGCGTGTGTGCGTGTGTGCGTGTGTGCGTGTGTGCGTGTGTGTGCGCGCGCGCGTGTGTGTGTGTGTGTGTGTGTGTGTGTGTACGTGTTGTGTGTGTGTGTGCGTGGCGGAAGTGGCCCGGTCGATCCCCCCATGGGCGGATCCCTGCTCCCCCCGCTGCGTGATTCGGCCCAGCCGAGCGCTCGATTCCCCCGACGGCCTACGCCGCGCCGCCGCGCGCGTGGCCGCGACGCCAACAAGTGTGTATAATGTGTGTATATATATATACATATGTGTGTGCGTGTGTGTGTGTGTGAGGGTGGTGGTGGGGTGGAGGGGTCGGCCATATGCGTCTCTGCGCCCGACTTCCCACTCCCTCTCCGCGCCGTTGCGCGCGTGACCGCGACGCCAAAAGGTGTGTATGTGTGCGTAAAAGTGTGTGTATGTGTGTGTGTGTACGTGTGGTGTGCGCGTGTGTGTATGTATGTGTGTACGTGTGTGCGTGCGTATGTGCGTGTCCCAACGAGGCTGCGGAGGCGACCCTCCTCCTTGTGGCAGTGATGCCACACACTGGCAACGACCTCACCGTCGCGGCCGTCACTCCCTATCGCCTCGGAGCCACATTCCTCAACCACGGGTGGCCCATGGACGGCGCGACCGCAGCCCTTTACGGAGCGGCCATCCCTCAGGCCAGCGGGCAAGCCCGCGACACCCCAGAGCCGCCTGCTGCCGTCCGTGGCCTCTTCGACTGCTGGCCCCACGTCCAGGCTTCTCCGTCGACCAGAGGCAGGGCGGCGAGGGCGATCTCGCCATCACCTCACGCGGGCGCTCCAGCGGCGGCTTCGCCCTCGGGCAGACTGGCTGCGCCCGCCGCAGCGACGTCGCGCTCGCGCGCGGCAAGAGCGGGCGCCCCCTGGCCACGAACGCGGGCGCGGCACGGGCCGGTCGGGGGGCCGTGCTCGTGGGCCCGGTCTGTCTCGCCTCCGACGCCGGGCCGCTGGAGCGCCGGGCTTCCTCCACGGGCGCCGCCTTCCAGCGCGTCCGCCTCGACGACGAGGGCGCCGCCGTCCCCGAGCCCCCCCAAAAGGGACCCAGCGCGTGGGCGCCCGCGGCGAAGCTGTGGCATCGAAGCAGGAGAGGACCTTCTTGGTCTCTCTGCGCCCGTCTCCTCCGCCCAACTTCAGCCCCGCCCAGGTTGGCGAAGAGCTGGGCCAGAGGTAGGACAGGTTGGTCGCTGGCCCCGCCTTTCTAGCCATCCTCGCCCCCACTCTTCGTGTGCATCCTTACCGCTTCATCTCCGCCAGCCCTCCGAGCAGCCCCGTGGATTTCGACTGCAAAATGTTCCACAAGCTCGCGCAAAACTTGCACCCATGCTTGGGTGCGGCGTGCGGCGCCGGCAACGTCACGTTCACTCTGTGGTGGCACGGTTTCCTACGCCGCTCCGGTCTGGGCCCTGACCCCGAGCGACAGGTATCCGGCTTCTTTGTCAAGGCCTTCACCATTCCCACTTGCATAGGCAGGGATGACCTGCGGAACCGCAAAGCCCGCCGTGGTGATGGCAGGCACATCACCCACTTCCTCACCGAAGCCACTTGCAGCTGCCCGCTGCACCAAGGGGGGCCCGCCAGTTGACCTCGCGCAGCTTCTCCTTTCCCCAATGCTCGACCCGGGACGCACGGTGCTCTTCCCTTCGACTTCCGCCGCACTCACCTGGCGAAGGGTCTGTTGCTATGACTACGGCAAGATCGAGCTCCTCACTCTTGCCACGCGACTTACTAGGCCTGACGGGCACGGCAGTCAGGCCTCCGATTGGGGCTCTGCCAACACCAACGTTCCCCTGCGCCTCTGCGAGAGCTGGATCGCCCTCGGCCCTCGCCTACCGGTACCGGTACTTCCAGCGACATGGAAAGGCGAAGAGCCCATCTTCCTTTCCTCCAACACCGCCCCGCGGGCCCGCGACTTCTGGGGCCTCGCCGATGCCAACCTCCCCCGCCTTGTCTCCGAGCAGCTTGCGGCCAGACAGTGGATGACTGACAGCAAGGGAAGCAACAGCCGCACCCAGCCTGCCATGCTGCCGTGGCGCTTCTGCCTCCGGGGCACAATGGGCAACGAGGCTGATGGCCACATCAGCCACAGCTTCTTGCAGCGCCTCGCCGACGTCGGGTGGCCACTCCGGGCCCCCAACGGCGTCGAGCTCCCCGCTTCCCGCCCCGCGCGCAGCGAGCGCCTGGGCGAGCTCGGACAGCCGCTCCTGCCCACCGTGAGGCCCCGCAGCCGCTCCCGCGGCAGCTCGGGCGCCCGCCCGGCCTTCAAGCTCTGGCGACGCAGAGCCTTCTTCTGCTTCCCTCCGTGCCAGCGCGGTCCGCGTGCCGCAAGGGCGGCTCCGCCTCCGCCAGCTCCAGCCCCAGGCCCACCCACGGGCCCGCGTGGGAGGCCCGCTCGACCGCCGGGCGCCCCGCGCCGGCAGCGAGCTCCCACTTCGGCGGCCCTCCCCCCGGGCGGCGAGGCGGGGGGGGGGGCCGCGCGAGCTCGCCAGCGAGCCCGACAGTGCAGTGACGGAGCGCCCGCGGGTGGCGACGACGCCCCACCGCCGGGCCCAAGCGGCCCCGCCGTCGGGCCCTTTGCGGACACCGCCCAGGCTCCCCTCGTCGAGCTGCCGAAGGAGGGCCTGGTGGCCGCGGCGCAGGCGTGGGCGCAGCTGGGCTTCTGCCAGGCCCAGCTCTGGCGCGACGTTCTGGGGCGCACCCCAGCCGAGCAGGAGGGTCCCAGCGAGCGACGTCGACTTCCCACGTCGGCTTCTCTCCCGCGCTAACGGGCACACGCCCAAGAAGGGCGCCAGCAAGCTGGCTGCCCGCGTGCCTGCTTCGGGGCAGCCCAACGTGTACGTGGCCGTGGCGGCCAAGGCTTTTCCTCTTGTTGCGCTACTGAAGCGTGTCAGCGACACGCGCCGGGCCATGGGTGGACAGGACGTCAGCAGGGAGTTTCTCTACCACCTCGGCTCGCCTGGCAAGCCCTTCGTTCACTCTGGCCCTGAGCTCTTCCCGCCCAGGTTCTCAGCGGACACTTTGCTGCTTGGGGCGCCCAGCGCTTGCGCGGCTGACGCAACTTCGGCCTCGACATCAAGAGGGACATCGCCCGAATCTGCACCAAGCGTCGCGGCCCTTCCTCACGCGCCCCCCAGTGGGGCGCAAAGGCCCTGGCAAGCAATGCATCCATCCTCCACAGGGCACGAGGCCGCAGCGGTGGGCAGACCCCCTGCGCCCAAAACCCGCCCACACGAGAGCGGGCCCGACGACTTCGGCGCGGCTGAGGGTAGCCCTACCGCTTCGAAGTCTCGCTCTTCGCGCGCGTCGTACAGGCGGCCGGTGTCCCGCGAGCATCCGCGACCGGCAGGCGCCCCCCGCCTTGGCCCTGCAGGCTCCGCCTGGCGCGGCAAGTCGGGCGGCGCGTCTCCGGAGGAGACCACTGCCTTCCAGGCGGCTCCCCATCGCCAAGCCAGCCGCCCTAGGGGCGGTGCCGCCGCGCACCTGGCCCGCGAGGCTGCTGGTGGCCGCCGGATCCGGCGAGCCTGCCGAGGCTAAGGACGCCCCGCATCCCAGCGCGGAACCCCGGTCTCGCTCAGGCGGCCAGCCCATCGGCAGCCGATCAGCCAGCGTACGCCCTAGGCGCTCCGGGTGGGCGCCGCAGCTTTACGGTGGCAGCGCGGCGTCCAGCGGCGGCCCGGGCCCCCGGACCTCACCGCGGCAGGCCCACGGTCCTCCGACCACAGGCCCATGGCCATCGGTGCGCGGCCTGCCAGCAGCCGCAGGGCAGTCACGCGCGCTGCTGCTCCCAGCACCTCTCCCGCGCCACCGCCACCGGCCCCTGCCCGTCATGCTGACAGCCAAGCGGCTGGGTCGCGCCTTTCCTTTGGGGACTCGCCCCCCTTCCCCCCCCACCCCCGCAGAGGTGGAGCAGGAGGAGGAGGAGGAGGAGGAGGAGGAGGAGGAGGACCAGTGCAAACCCAAGACTCATCAACGATGTTGGAATACACCCTCCCTCCAAGCTTCCTCTTCATAGGCCCCGACAAGGGTTCATTTCCACTGAGAGGCTTGCCCCGTAGGGGGACAAACGTGCGAAAATCTGGAAGCGTGCCAAAACACCGCTCTCAGGAGTCGAACGCCACAGCTTAACCTGGCTGGCACGTCTTGGTGATCCTGAATCGTGCCAGGACACCATTCCTGGGATGCGAGCGTAACTGTTGCAACGCGCGCGGCGCTACGGCGAGACCTACATTGGAAAACCAGCCGCCCTCAGTCCGTGACACTTTTGCGATTTTACCTAACAGCGAAGACTGATAGGTTTCTAGTTGACTCAAAAGAGCTCACAGATCACTCCACAGGGGGGTCCGGGCAGGCGTTGGGAGTTGCCGGCCGGGCCTGTGCCGGGCTCGTTTTTCACAAACAGTCACACACTTCGTGCTCGTCGACCTCTCAGAACCCCATTCCCAGGCCACATTCTGAATAACCGGATGCAACAGTCACACACTTGGTGCTCCTTGACCTCCCAGAACTCCATTCCCGGGCCACATTCTGGAGCCCGGAGCAACTGTACCACTTCGTGCTCTTCGAGTTCCCAGAATTCCATTCCCGGGCCACATTTTGGATGCCCGGAGCCAACTGTAGGCCACTTCGTGGTCTTCGAGTTCCCAGAACTCCATTCCCGGGCCACATTTTGAATGCCCGGAGCCAACTGTAGGCCACTTCGTGTTCGAGTTCCCAGAATTCCACTCCTGGGCCACATTCTGAATGC